CCGTGACCAGCTCTCCGGTGCCTACTCCACAATCGCGGCGGACAGCCTGCTGCTGCTGCACCACGGGGACCTTCTCCGCGGGAGGTGAGTCGCGTTCTCCCCTTCGGGCCGCCCCCGGCCGGTCCGTCTGAGCCGCAGGTGGCACTCGCAGTGTGGGCGGGGTCGGCAGGTGGGCCACGCGCAGGTTTTGTGCGGCGCAGGTGGCACGCGCAGGTTGGGGGCGCAGGTGGCCACGCGCAGGTGGGGCGGGGCGCAGTTAGGCGCACGCGCAGGTGGCGGGGCGCAGGGCGCACCTGTCGCGGAGACGCTCTGCTCGCTGTGCCCGCGGCAAGGCCAGGGGACATTCGAGGCCGTGGGAGGTGTGACCCCCCGGTTCTCCTTCTGGCCCCCCCGAGCTGGCCCGGCCCGCACCTGCCCTGCCGGCGTGGGGGGGGCGGTGACCCCAGAGCCTGACGCCCCTCACCCCCCCCCGCCGCCCTGCAGAGGTGTCTCCGCCGGGAGTGGAAGAGCAAAACGTCGTGAAGGACCTGCCTGCGCGCGGCCGGCTGGATGGCCATGTTCATGGGCCTCAACCTCATGACGCGGATCCTCTACACGCTGGGTAGGCGCGGCGCGCGGCGGGTCTTTCCCCCTCCGTCCTTGGTCCCCCGTCCCTGTCCCCAGTCCCCAGTCCACATCCCCGTCCCTCAGTCCCCCGCTCCCGGTCCCCGTTCCCCTTTCCACCCGCGTCCTCGCCCGCCAGCCCGTCCCTGCTGGGGCTCCGGCAGAGGGGAGCCGCCGGCATGTCCCTTTTTTGTCTTTGTTTCCCTGCACCGCGCCGGCGCTCGGGGGCAGGCCGGAGCCCCGCGTCCCCCTCGCTCCTATGCTTCTCCGAGCGCCGAGCGCGCCGCAGGCCCTGGTTTCAAGTCCGCTGTGGCCGGCCGCGAGACCCGGGGTCTCTGGGTGGGCGCAGAGAGATTAGTGGGCCGCGCCCGCGCCGTGTCCGCCTGCTCGGACGGCAGCTGGGGGAGGTCTCCCCGGGCACAGCGAGTGCCCGGCGCGAGACTGTGTCCACAAACAAAGAACGCGTCCCGGGCGCGGGCGTCTCAGCCCGTGCCGGCCTCGGGCCCCAGACAGCAGAGAGCGCCGCGGGGCCCTAGGCGGCGCTGGTTGCACAGCGCCCGTCCCGGCCCAGACACAGAGAGGGCGCGCAGGGCCCGCGGGATGCACAGCGCCCGTCCCCGCCCAGGCACAGAGAGGGCGCGGGGCCCGCGGGATGCACAGCGCCCGTCCCCGCCCAGACACAGAGAGGGCGCGGGGCCCGTGGGATGCACAGCGCCCGTCCCCGCCCAGACACAGAGAGGGCGCGGGGCCCGTGGGATGCACAGCGCCCGTCCCCGCCCAGACACAGAGAGGGCCCGCGGGACGCACAGCGGCCTGACGCCGTGTCCCCGCGTCCCCGCAGTGGACTG